TTAGGGTTTAGGGTTGGGGGGGTTTGGGGGGGTTTGGGCGTAGGGTTTTTGGGGGTTCTCGGGCTTGGGGGTCTAGGGTTTTGGCGTAGGGTTTTTGGGGGTCCTAGGGCTTAGGGGTTCAGGGCGTAGGGTTTTAGGGGTTTAGGGGTTTAGGGTTTGGGGTTTGGGGTTTAGGGGTTTAGAGGCTTAGGGGTTTAGGGTTGAAGGGTTTATAGGGTTTAGGGAGTTTAGGGTTCGGGTGGTATGGGGCTCTATGGGGGTTACCATCTAGACCGCATAAGGAGAACGAGTAACTAGAAGGCTGATGAGAACTGAGCGATTGCGGGTTCTATAAGGGTTTAGGCTTTAGGGGTTTAGGGTTTAGGGTTTAGGGCGTCCTATGAGGCGTCCGGGTTGAGCGTTCGCGGAGTTAGTTTCGGGCTTAGGGGTTCAACAATTCGAAATCTTGGCGTCCATTCAACCAGTTATATAAGGACGATCACGAAGTAATATGACTAATGACTAATGGTGCAGACTCCTAAACGAACCTCATACAACACCTCTAGAGTACCGCGGTAGAGCCCGTATAAACCTCTCAGCAAAAAAAATATACGACCCCTTAAGAAGCATGTCAAAGCCTGCAGGCGGTTCGGGGGGTTTAGTGAGGCTTAGGGTTTAGGGTTTAGGGTTTAGGGTTTAGGGTTTAGGGTTTAGGGCTTAGGGTTTAGGGTTTAGGGTTTAGGGTTTAGGGTTCAGGAATCTCAGATAACAGTGCTTGTCATCAATGCAGCCATGTCGTTAAGTGGGCTCTTGAGGCTTCATGGGGTTTAGGGTTTAGGGTTTACCTAGAGCTTGACCCTCAATTCGGGTTGAAGGCTTCGGCCACAAAGCTTCGGACATAGGGTTTAGGGTCTAAAGGGCTTTAAGATTTCAGGCCAGCGTTTAGGATTCCGGGTTCTGAGGTTTGATAGAGTTGCTTCGAAGTGCTGTTTCCTCACAAGGGGTGCCTGATAACAGTGGCCCATGCGCCAAGCGGGGATATGTGAAGCCGGGGCTTCATTTCCAGTCCCGCAATACAAAAGTGTACATTCACCAATATTCCTCAGGTGCCCTGCACTTACATAGACCCTGCTTCGCTTGAAACCAGATATCGTAGTGCGCAAAAGATCTTGGGCAGCAGCCAACATTGGCTTCAGAGAGTGGCTTGCGGGTGGATGGCATTCCTCGCACTGCCGGGCTTTCGAAACCGGGGCTAATGTAGAGGCCTCAAGAATTAGAACAGGGTCTGGGGGTATGTTAGACTATGATCATAATAAGGAACCCCCAGAGTGGTATTAGCAATTATTTAAGCCCTTATATTAGAAGGCACCCGAAGTGCGCAGAGTGCTTGGAGCAGGTGGATCTATTTCTTCCTCCCAAAACCCAGAATGCGAAACCCTGCCGTAACCCCTAAACTCAAACCCCAATTCATACCCTAAACGCTAAACCCTAAACCCCAAACCGTAAACCTTCAACCCGAAACCCTATGACGTAACCTTCGGCCCTAAACCTTCAACCCTCAAGCCATACTACTAAATGAAGAGAGCTCCTTTGTCTTTGCCCTTCTGTGCGCACCTCGCGGGCGACGTGGAGGAAGTTGTTTAGGTGTAGGGCTTTTGGGTTAACGCCTCTGGAAATGTGGATCATGCTGTTCGGGGTCCAAGGTTTAGCGCTTCAGGCTTTAAGGCTGTAATGTAGGGGCCTAAATAATTACCTATACTATTTTGGTGGTTCCTTATTATCTTTATAGTATAATGGGCCCCAAAACCCTATTCTAATTATTAGGGCCCCTATATTATTGTTTTGGTGCTTGCTGCGAAACCCGATGCATCGGACGCTGACGCCCTCAACCCTAAACCCTAAACCCTAAACCCCAAACCCTAAACCCTAAACCCTTCAACCCTAAACCCTAAACCCACAACCCCCAACCCTAAACCCTCAACCCTAAACCCTAAACCCTCAACCCTAAACCCTAAACCCACAAACCCTGCCTTGGCTCCTTCGGAGCAGGTGCCGGCCGGCTCTTGGCAGCTCGCTTGACAAGCTTCGGCGACTCCTGAGGTTCAGGGTTTTGGGGGGGTTCAGCAGTATGGGGTTTTGGGTTTAGGGTTGAGGTTTTGGGGTTCAGCAGTTTTGGGTTCAGGATTTAGGGTTTAGGGTTCAGGGTTTTGGGGGTTCAGCAGTAATATAGGCGCCTGAATGATTCGAATAGGGGTTTTTAGGGGGCCCATGATACTATAATTATAACAAGGAACCCCTAAAATAGTGCTGGTAATTATTTGGGGTCTTGGGGGTTCAGCAGTTTAGAGTTCAGGGTTGGGGTTCAGGGCTTAGGGTTTCGGGTTCGAGCCTTTTGGGGCTTAGCCTAGCTGCCCAAGGCCTCGGCAGCCCTGAACCCCGAAACCGGCAAACCACTAAATGCCAGAAGACCCCCACCCCAAACCCCAAACCCCAACCCAGAGATGTCCTGGGACCCTAAACCCCTAACCCCATAAGCCACTGGAAGCCCCCCCACCCTAAACCCCAAACCCCAAACTGGAGAGGTCCTCCCTAAACCCTAAATCCTAAACCCTAAACCCTAAACCCTGTCCTGGACAAAAATCGGATCTTCGAACAAGAGTCGCGGCCGTGATTCCTGGCAGCTCATTGCTGCTCTGGGGAGGCTTCATCATCGGGCTCAGAGGTTTCGGGTTTAGGGTTTAGGGCTTTGGGTTTAGGGTTTAGGGCTTCGGGTGGTTGAAGGTTTAGGGTTGAGGGTTTGGGTTATGTGCGATTCGGCTAGGCTTCGTCTGCCTTGCAACGTCTCAGAATCTTTCCGACAAAAAGGGCTTGTAAGGTCTTACGTCTTACAGGTGTTTCGGGCAGCTCCCAGCTAGGATTTCCGGCAAGTTCCCCGCAACGACGGTAAGACTAACAAGACAGTCAGCAGACCGTCCTCCACCGCAGGTGCTAGAGTGCGCGAAGGCACCATACTCATTCTTCCAAAATCCATGCAATGTGTCAGCGTGTCTTGCACATCCTGGAGGATCCTCAGCAGCACAGGGCACCAACTAAACACCGCACTCCGACCCTTGCAAGCATAGGCCTTAAGAATTAGCATGGGGATCTGGGCTCCTTTATAACTTTCCTCAAAATAAGGAACCTCAAAATTATATAAGGCCCCTGTGTTAGTAGAAGACGTCTGCAGTTGTGCTGCCGAGTGGCCCATCTAGCAATATCTCCAGCTTCTCAGGTACGGGCTGCTCCTCCGACCTGCTGCTAAAGGTCTGCTTCCACATCCCTAAACCCGAAACCTGTAGCCCTTAACCCTTAACCCTAACTCCTTAACCCTAAACCCTAAACCCTAAACCCTAAACCCACAACCCTAAACCCTAAACCCTCAACCCTAAACCCTGATTCCTAAACCCTAAACCCTAAACCCTAATTCCTTAACCCTAAACCCTAAACCCTTAACCCTAAACCCTGATTCCTAAACCCTAAACCCTAAACCCTAAACCCTAAACCGCAAACCCTAAACCCTAAACCCTAAACCCCTAAACCCTAAACCCTAAACCCCAACGTGTAAGTTGGGAAAGACTGTGCTGGGCTCCAAGGCAGACATCCCAGCTGCATCATCTGCTCCACATCCACCGACAGGATGAGCAGCACCTCAGACAGCAGAGCCTTTAGGGTTTAGGGCTTAGGGTTTAGGGTTTAGGGTTTAGGGTTTTAGACTCAAAATCCGACATCCTGAACCATATACTCTGGCCCTATAAACCTTAGGCCCTGAACCCCAAAACCCGACAGCAAGACCTTCCGGCAACACTGGGCGCGACCCAACATGCGAGGCGCCGACCACCTCGCCGGAACTGTTGCCAAAGCCCACTTCCGCCTCCAACTTGGGGTTTACGGTTTGGTTTTCGGTTCAGGGCTTGGGGTTTAGGGCTTAGGATCAGCATGTCACTGCCAATATATTTGGTGGGACTACGAACGTAGGAGCATAATGATTGCCAGAACAACCACAATTTGGATTAGTGCAGCATTGTTGGCAACGTGTCATGAACCATTAGCTGCACCATGCATACATACCTTTACATAAACACATATACACATAAACACATATACACATATACACATATACACATATACATGCATACATACATACATACATACATACATACATACGTACATACATACATACATACATACATACATACATACGTACATACATACAAAGATACATACAT